AACTTTTGGCTTCTCACTACATTTACGAAAATTTAATGTACGTACACAAAAACAAAAATAATTTTAATAAAAATGGTTTTTTTTATGATGATTATTAAATTTTTGAATAAAAATTTTAGTATTCTGAGTCGCTTGTCACACCAGTCATAATAATTTTGGTGCTCTAACATCACATAACACTTGAAGTTAACCGTTCTTCCGTTCTTATATCCTCTAGCAGTACAGTGGCAATGTGACCAATCTTGCAGGAAATAATTTTAAAAAAAAAGCACATACGAGAAGATCAATCGGCTTATATGGCTTAGGATTGTTTGGTAGTATTTTTTTGAAGGAGGACTGTGCTATGCTGCTGTAAGTTATATGTGAGAGGCTGTTATGATGATGAAGATGAAGAATGGCATTGATTTGTTACTCAGTATTATTTGTTATTAAACTTGGATCGATTTGCTGTGCTCCCACATAATAGTTTCAATATATATTTCATGTAACAGTAAATTATATAAAAACATTATATTTTTATACTATTTAACAAAACAAAAATAACGCCACGGCATCTAAAAGTTTAAAATTTTCGCAAAGAAACAACTGTTTCCTTGCTGTATTACAAACTTACAAAAATCTATATTGACTACAAAATTGTTACGTATGCTACTATTTATCGTGAGTGTTCAGTAACTGATTCTTCTCACTCTCATACTCTTTATGAATAAAAGACGTAGAATTTTGCAACGACAAGACATATTCCAGTAATAAGCCGAATAAATCAATCAAATATAATGTCAGCAGTCCTTTAACAACTTAATCATAATATCCGCTTTATTAGGCACGCGTGAAAACTGATCGTTAGTTACCAATAGATCGTCAGTGTCGGGAGAATTATCCGTCTAATTTGACGTCGGGGTTTATGTGTTTGCACGCCCCGGCGGCGACCGGCTGTCCGAATTGTGTGCCGTAAATTGGGTAGATATTTCGTCAGAGGTTAGGGTTGCTATTTACGGTTACGCATAAATCAGTATGTCATGTGTAGTTTAGTATATTTTATCGTAACTCACTTAATAAAATTTTATATATTTCTGATACATAGGTTATTTTGTAGGTAAATATATAGACAGTAAGTTAAAGCCTTGTGAAAGAAATTGTCGCGCAGATACGGGTCACAGAGTATTCGTTACCCCATGTGACGAAAAAGTTTATACAAATTTTAGTATTAACTTCCCTTAGATTCAAATCTGGGCTTCAGCAAACGGGTATGCTAACATTTTTAGCCCTTCGATCGTCATTCCATAAGGGTTCTACCGTAAAGCGCAGGAGACTCTCTCTGCGGGGAAGGTTTTTGGATCAAAGAAGAACTTGGCAATTGTTTGGGGCCAAAGCAGCATATTTCTTTTTGTGTTAAAGAGAAGCATTTCTTTCTACGATGTTTTAAAACGCAAATATATTGGTGTAATTTTGGAACTTAATTGAACGAAACCAAAGAAAGTTCATACGACATTTATCGTATTCCGCTGGCAAGCTGGGAATTCCCTATTCGTACCTTAAATCATTCGAATACTTTGAGTTGACGTCACTGGACAAGCGAAAAGATGTAACTGACTACAAAATTATTAGAAACTACGTATGCTGCCGGATCTCCTCTCAAAACGTTGCTTTACGTAGAGTGCCGCGGAGAATACCTCTTGCTCTAATCAGGCCTCTAATTTGCTCATTCCTTATGCTACTAGGGTTGAACTTGGAGAGCCATTGTGTAGTGTGCCGGGGAAGGACATCTGGTGAAATATAGTTACTGGAAGGGCTTGGGAAGATAGGTTGGTTAGGTTTGTTGTACCTATTATTTCTTTATTTTTAAAATAAAAATAGCCTAAATTACTCCTTATCAGCAATGTGCCAGTGAAAGTCCCGTCAAAATCGATCGAGCCAATTCGGAGATTAGCCGGAACAAACAGAGAGATAGGCAATTTTTTTCCTATAATTACCGTATAATATACTTCCTTATATATTAAGTAAAAAGCTGTTGTATTAAAATTACAAACAGACACGTCACAATTATTTATTTGTATAGATTAAAACAATATAGTTATCTCTTTGTATTTAATAGAGGACAGTAAAGCATTACGACAACTTGCACTAGTTCTAACGATTTTTCTAGGATGTTCAACTCGAATGCTGCTTACCTTTTTTTGCTGGTATCAAGAAATGAAGGAGGTTTAAAATTTTACCAAATGTTTTTGTGTACATATTAAAAAAATGATACATGTAATTTTACACGGGATCTTCATAAATTGGTAATCGATTTCAATGATTCGTTTCTACTAAATAGGCTGTGCTTCAGGGACGATCCCAATTTGAAGGAAAACATCCACACCTAATGATAGCTAAATAGGAGATAAAGTTTTTGATGTAACCATTTAGACGACATGGAGCTTGTGATATTACTTAGTCCACTCAAAAGGGTGTAACCGACATAGCTCAACGGATTAGTAAGCTGAAGTGGCAACAAACCAGCCATATAGCACGAAGAACCGACAGCCGATGGGGAAAAAAGATCCTCGAGTGGCAGTCTCGTACCGATAGGCGAAGTGGGCGACCCTCCACTAGATGGAATGACGACCTGGTAAGACATGCAGGAAGTCGATGGACGCTCAGTCGGTCGCTCGGTAACTCAGGACCGTGCTTTGTGGCAATCCCTGGGGGAGGCCTATGTCCAGCAGTGGATTAGTGAAGGGCTGCAATGTTGATGATGATGACTCAAAAGAGTAAAAAATTTAATTTGAAAGTAAAGGCCGACATCAAAAAAAAATCTTTACACTATGTCTTAACACTGAATTCAGAATGTTTTCTTATAGAATAAGAGTGATAAACGAGCATACTGTTCACCTGATGCAAAGTGGATGCTCTGGCCCATAAAAATCTACATTTATCCTCAGTTCATAATCAAAATGCAGATGCGTGGTCACCCCTGAGAACTGAGATGGAATGCCTCGTATCCTTTAAAAAGGGGTCTCCGGTTCTCCACCCTCACCATAGGAAACACAGCAGCATTAAGCAGCTATTTTACACTGATATTCTGTCAGTCCAACCAACCTACCAATATCGGTCGAGCCAACCCATTCGTGCTACAGCTTTAATATAGCTGCAGCGTCTACCACGTACAGACGTATTTAAAGTTAATATTTATAGGCATAAGATTCATACAAGATACCCACATAACAAACTGAAAAGTTTGGTACATCTCGAACGTATAATAATATATCTATACACACTTTACCAACAATCAGAAAGATAATTAACAGGGTATCGATTTCATGCGCAATATATATAGAGATTGTGCAAACAAATATATTGTTGTTTGCGGAATGGGCTCAGTCGCTAATGAATTTGATTAAGTAGCTTTGCCTCGCAAATCACTGTCAGTGCAAACAATTCGCCCCTGCCTATTCGATATTTGGACGTGACATTTGTGTGTTGGAAGCATGCGGTGCGAGCCTTTCGTATTCTAGGCATTTATGGGTTAATTTCTGTTAGTTTCACTAACGTGTAGAGCCGGAGTAAGAATATTCACTAACGCATTACATCCCGTGGGTGTCATAAAAGGCGAAAGGGGGAAACAAATCAGGAGATGGGCAGCAGCGTCTTCCTAATAACGACTAAAATTGCCAACCCTCTTGCCAAGTCCCGATAGTCCCGATACCATCCACACCATCTGGATGCTTGGCGGTCCACCACTGTACGTTTCACAAGGAGTTTTCTTCCACGTACAATCCTCTCTGTGGAATAGTTTACCACCGGCGATTTTTCCGGACCGATACGACCTGGGGACCTTCAAGAAAAGAGCTTACTCCTTTCTAAAGGGCCGGCAACGCACCCGCAATTCTCCTGGTGTTGCGGTTGATCATGGGCGGCGGTAGTCACTTAACATCAGGTGAGCCGCATGCTCGTTTGCCCCTTCTTCTATAAAAAAAAAAGCGTGGCAACTACGACAAATTTTTCGCCTTTGAGACAATGTATGGGGGACGACTATGTTTAGCAGTGGATTTTAACAATTAATAGTTGTAACGGTAAAGATAATTTCTTTATACAATAGATTCGTTTCTTACTTTATACATGTTAACTAGGTAATAGTACTTGTTTTGTTTCTAAAAGTTTTTCTGGGTTGATATCACATTTTTATTCTATTTTAGCCGCGCTGGCACTGCTGTTCGGCGGTCTATGGTCTACGGTCTGAAGGGTATATAGAGCCAGTAAACTCGTAGTTATTTTGTGAGGCATTTTGTCTCCTACTGCCAAGTTAGAGTGCACTGCATACTGTGTTCCATATGTATGCACAGAAAAGTTTTATTATTATTTCACTATTTCTGTAAAAATACGTTACGCATTTAAATGTATAACAGACTTTATTGCGATGTTATATTTACTTACAGTCCCTCTTTCCTATACGATCCTCTTATCCCTAGAAATATTGTGCCCTTTTATTTTTTATTATGTCCCTCTGATTTTCACCCCCTGGCGAGAGGATAGGGCGTGGCGCCCTATGGGGGGCGGAACGCGCATGCTCTATAATCTTTGACCTGAACAAGATGGCAGGAGATAATATGATATGATGTTACTAGTGATTTGATCGCCTATCGGTTTCGTGTTTTGAATAGAAAAAAATTTTATTACTAAACTTAAAAAAGCTACACCGAATTCGTAAACAAAATATAAAGTGATTTTAATGTATAACTACAAAATTATTCTTTTTTTTAAGTCGGTTTAAAAAAATGGTCTCACAAGTTTAACTTAAAAATAGATAATATCTAAATAGTTACATTGAAAAATCATACACTATTTTTCCACCTTTAAGGTTAAAACTTTTTCTGAAAATTGTATGGGATCACCCCTGAAGTATAAATGTTTTTTTCGAATATAGAACTTCTCGTTTATGCAACTGAAAAGTACGAATGCAATTATTAAAACCATGAAAAATAGAGTAGTCAAAAAAGATGTGCCAGTGTACATACTGTATGATTAGCCTGAAGCGCCTGAAGCCTGAAGCGTCCATGCTTGCATGCACGCACAGGGTTGAATTAATAAGCTTGCTTGATAAGCACACGCTCTTAAGTGAGTATAGAAAATGAGTAACAAGCATGCACAGGATTGAAGCGATTGGCTTGCTTGATAAGCATACGAGTACTCTCCTAAGTGAGAGTAGAAAATAAGTGACGAGCGTGCAGCGGGTGGAAGCGATCGGCATGCTTCATAAACACACGTTGCATTATGGTAGCCTAAAATGGCAGTTCCAAATGTTGGTTTGGCGATTTTTTTAAAATATTGAAGTGACAAACGACTCTACAATCCACCTAATGGTGGATTGTAGAGTTTTATATATATAGTCGATCGTAGTAGTAGTGTGTTTTTTTTGCAAAAAAAAAAAATGGTGGCCAAGTTTGTCTCCAAAACCGGCCATGTTACGACTATTCCTCTTGAGGGACAAAGAACGGTTAATGCAGAATGGTATGCATTTGTTTGCCACAGGTTGTTTCTGAACTCCGTAAAGAGAACTGCAACCGCCGCATCATCCTCCATCACGCGATGCGAGTCAATCAATGCGAGTTCTCACACCGTACACAGAACAAAAGAGTTTTTAGAGCAAGAAAACATAGGATTATTAGACCATCCGCCGTACAGCCCCGACCTAAGCCATAATGATTTCTATACTTTCCCTAAAATAAAGAATAAATTGCGTGGACAGGAGATTTTCATCACCTGAAGAAGCTGTGGACGCCTACAAAACGGCCATTTTGGAGACCCCAACTTCCGAATGGAATGGTTGCTTCAATGATTGGTTCCATCGTATGGAATAATGTGTCAAATTTCGCGGAGAATACTTTGAAAAGCAATAAATACATTTTTAAATCGTAATGTTGTGTCACTTTCTTGATTCCCGAAATTTTCAGTGCCACCCTCGTATCTCGAGAAATACTTAACAAAATGACCTAATTTTATTTTCACTTACTTCAGAATCATATAGGACTGGTTCCTTTCGATAACCACTTCGGTAATCCAATTCATTATTTTTTAGTTTCTCTTCTTTCATTTTTTCTTTCAATTGCTACACCTACATTAATTATTTCTTTAAATTAAAATTAGTTTATTTTTAAATATAGAATAAGGCTCTAAGACATCTACATCAAACCTCATTTAAGAATCAAATGTACCAACTTGGTGTGCACTTACATAGTATATGGCTATGTGAAAATTATGCTAATTATTTAATGATTGATATTATGGCTGCATAAAAATTGTAAAACTAACTCAATTAAGGTTTATAATAGTAGTTATTCGCATAGATATTTTACTATTGTGGACGGTTTTCATAATAAGCAAAATATTTTGTTTATTTGTGACACAAAACTACAGTTTTAAATAAGATCCAAAACTACGAATCAATTTCGAAAAGTTACAAAATGTTACAATTTTCATTTTTGCAAAAACAAGACACAAAGTTATCGACTTTTTATATCATTCCATCAAAAATCTATCAAAATTTTTTGTTGAAAAAAGGCATACCCATAGATTTATTCAAAAATCCACCGTTTATAGCAAGGGTGGCGAACCTTTATGTATCAACTTGTCATTTAAAAAAATGTTTAATTAGCTATTATACGTGCCGTAAAATAATTTTGACTTCGTGATTATACGGAAAATAATAGTACCAAAAGTATTTGGTACTATTATTTTCCGTATAATCTATTGAATAAAACTCTTTATTTACTACAAAAAGTAAACAAAGACTTTTAAGTTGAGAATATATAATAAATGTTTCAGTTATACGCGTAATTTAAGTTAAATTAACATTAGTGTGACTTCTGTTGTTGTAAATTAGATTACAAATTACTTATATTGGGGTTGCAAAATCCTAAATATAATACAAGTGAATTTTTAAAGACAGATGTGTCAACGAAATTGACTGTTATGCTATGCGTAAACGAACTATGCATTCCTTGGAAGAGGCGTGGACTTTTAAGGGGTTATAATGATGATGACGATGACGAAACGAACTATGCGTCATTAGCAATGGTAGTCCATGATGTAACTAGGATCACTCGCTTTCGTTCGTAATATATTACTTCATAGTGAACTTTGTGATCGGTGGCGTGCCCAAAATATTGTGCCGCGTGCCATCGATGGCACGCGTGCCATGGGTTCGCCTACCCTGGCTTATAGGAACCTATAAACTATTTTTGGCCTTAACCATAGTCTCCTCTTACGACACCCATGAGACTTATGGCGATACTTTTCTATAAGACTAGAGACAACTATATATTTGTGCCATCTACTGTGGAGACTATCGGTCTATCTATTGTCACCACGAGAGACAGAAGCGCGCTCAAAGGCTAAGTATAGTCGTTCGATGAGGAAACGCAGCCAGCGTTCCTGGTACTAAAAACCGGAATAGTAAGACTTGGACTTCTGAATGTTTTTTTTTTATAAAAAGAATATTAACAATGCTATAAACATTACTAATAGTCCCCTTAACCACTCGTGGTAAGCTTAAATTGCTTGTGTTACGAGTGGTTCACGCCAGTAGACGAATGGTGGATTCGAACTCACGACCTTTTTGAGTTCGCGGTCCGCGTCCTGCCATTAGGCTACTGTCGCTTAACCTTTGACTTAACCTTTGGTTTGACCGATTGAAATCATATTCACGCAATACATTAGTGATTCAGTATATAAGTTTCGTCAAGTCGACGGTCCATAGTTATATGTACTAGAATCCGAGATAGAAGTAGTTGCTGTACTTAAGTCATCAACAAACTTTACGTTTATTGTACAAAATAACTCATATTTCCAATATATGTTTGTGTAAATTTGGTAGTGGTAAAGCCATGATGTCACTATAATATTTGTAGATTGTAGATTGTAGCGCGAATCGGTTGGCTCAACCGGGGAAAGACCACGCTCTCACAGAATACCATCGTAAATAGCAACTTAATGTTGCTGTGTTTTGTATGGTGAGTGTGGAGAACCGGAGATCATTTTTTCTAGTAACCAGGCATTCCAGTTCTCTGGGGCGACAGCGCATCCCCGTTTTGATTCTTGGTACTACCGCGTTTTCACAGCATCTACTAATAATCGGATAGATTGTGTGCTCGTTTGTCACCATTATTTTGTAAAAAGGTGTATTTAGATATACTATAAAATGTAGCAGCAGCATCTTTTTTACACGTGGTAGAGCCTTGCCGCAGCTATATTAGTAGTATAGTTGTAGCGCCAATGGGTCGGCTTGAACGGAGAAGTACCACGCAGGAAGACTACCAGCGTAAAGTAGCAACTTAAAGCTGTTGTGTTTCGTATGGTAACTGAAGAGAACTGGAGACCGTTTTTGCTGGAAACGAGGCATTCCATCTTAGTCCTCACGGATGACAATGCATCTGCGTTTTGATTCGTATCTGAGGATAGATGTAGATGTCTATGGGCGACAGCAACCGCTTACCATCGGGTAGACTGCGTGCTTGTTTGTTGCCCTATCCTATAAAAAATGTCCGGCCTAAAAATTATCGCACCATCCACCAGCCGGTTAAACAATGCCTGCCGGGTGAGGTTAGTTAATATATTATAATAATTGATAATATATTCTTTAACCAACCACTACAGATTAACAATATACTCTATTAACTGTGAATATTCCAAGACCGCTCTTGGAATATTCACTACCACATATCATGCCGTGGCTAGAGGGAAAACCCAGCAGATTAGCAGCAGCATGTTTTTGTAACAACCGAATAAAAATAACAAACTGCCGTTGCGAAACTGCGTGCCAAGTACGGAAACTATGGTAAAGATCCCTCCATAGAAATATAAATAACAGCTTGTATCTATGGATCCCCCGTATGGACGAGCTATGGAGGTGGCCTATGTTCTGCAGTAGACGTTTGATAGGCAGTATTGGTATTGGTAACAATTCTGTAAGCACAAAATATATCTAAAATGTAACTATGAGTATTTTGCTGATGAACCTACAGATTAAAGTTATTCTCAGACAACTACTTTATTAATAACAAGTATAGTGCGTGAGGGTAATATGGTCATCCCCCCCCGAACGGGTTCCCGCCTTGTCGTGGCGGGGGGGGGGGGCTTAGTAGCCGTGGCTTGGTCTCCCACGGTGAACAAAGAGGAACCCACGTGGCTGGCCCGAGGTGAAGGGCCGGCCTGAGTTGGCCACTCCGAGTGGGCTTGGGGAGCCCACTTCGGATGTGTGCTGGTCGACTGCAGCGAGTGGGGACTCCGCACCCTCTACCGCTGCAGCCGAGGTGGAGTCGCGGAGGAAGAGGAGTGTTGGTATGGCGATGCGCCACTCGCCCTACCCAACTAGCACGGTAGCGTTAAAACAACCTGTATATCGTTCGTATATGGGATCCATTCGAGTATCAAAGTGTTAAGAATACCTGTAGCAGCGGTGTTATAGAGTGCTCTAACTCACTTATAACCACGAAAGAGGCCCACGATTTTACAGGTAAAGGTTATAGAAAGCCTGTAGAGCAACGGTATAAAGGTGTTAAAGTACCTACATAAGAGTGTTTATTCATCCTCAGCTATTACTTTAACCGGTATTACTGTGGTTGTAGATGGGTTAGTTAACACTCTGGGACATAGAAAAACGTCGGCTAAGAATAATTTATCACTCAAAACTTCATTAGACCTATTAAAAATAGTTGTTTTACACTTTAACGCGTAATAGTTATATAAAATACTCTCAAGCTCAAGTCTCGTTTGAGAAATCCTATAAACGACATAATAAAATTGTGACAACGAAGAACAGCTTACCGAATGGCGAGACATAATTGACAGAGGAGTTATAATAAAGTGTTCAAGTTATTTTAGTTTGTGAAGTGAAAACAATCAGCCATTGTGATTTTACGGTAAGTGTATACTATGTTTTCCATCTCAATTTTAACGCGCTCAGGATTTGTTAGAGATTTCAAATAAAAGTTATGAAGAATAAAACAGACACCCCAAATTTGTATCATATTTATTCTTGCATCCTGGCCAGTGGCATGTTAAATTAAGTGGCATCAATGGAATAACAAAATTAACAAAAATAATGAAGTATTTTGTTGTCAAATATTGAATAATCCAGTCATCAATTTATAGGTTAGTTTACCAAAACAATGGCGAACTTACTTAAAGCTTTAGGTCTTCACTTAAGTCATCTATTACACACTTTGAGATACAACATCTTTACTCAAGAATATTGTGCAGTCTTTAGTATACTTAACAGTGCAATAATAGACTTGAATAAATATACTTACTATAGCCAAGGCAATACAACCGGCTAAACATTTTACGAACTGGATGGATTAGGGTTCTTCAACGAAATAATCAAAACCTGCAAGTATTAAAAAAAATCACAAAAAAACAATGTTTTGGTATTACTTAAACCGAGTAAATGATTTATATGGTTTGTAAGGTGTCTTTTTATTAGTTCGATTGTAGTATTATACTACACATCATAACAAACCACTTTTCCTAAGAAACATTTATTTTTAAGGATTGTCCAGGTTTCTATAACTTTTACTCATTACAATCGTAATATCTCCTCAGTTCCTTACTCGCAAAATAAGTCAGTCACAGTCACTCAGTCTTACACAGTCGACGAGTGAAAACGGACATCAATGCGTCAGCGGCTCGAGCAGTGTCGTCTGATCATCTCACTTTGATACCCGAAAATAAAACGCGTACAAGGTCAGTCATTCAATAACATTCATTATTTATCTTAACTTAATGTAACATAGAATGTTAGACTATAGGTAGATAGTGTAAGTTGGGACTTGTGCCGAAAGATTTGTTTATTTATATAATATTGTGTTGAAATAGGTACGTGGAAGTAGGTAGACCTTGTTTCTATGTAGGTATAGATATCTACCATATTGTTTAGCTCATCTTTATTTTCGCCCCTATGACGTGGTACTATTATGTACAAAAACACTATTGGGACAACTTTTTTGTTTTAACTACCCGCGACTTCATCCATATGGCAAATGTGACTTCGGTAAATCCAGTAATACCTAATAGTTTTTAAGTTTCTTAAGCACAAACTAGTAAGAAGTGCTAGTGCAAGTGTTTCTTAAGGGTTGCATATACAACTACGTACAATGTTATGATTTTTTTAATCGCCGATTCAATGTCACTTGTAGTTTCGTAACTATGAAAATTGAAATTATGTAATTGTTTTTTATTATTTTTTATATATGAACGTTCTTATTGGCCACAAATGCTTGCTTTTAGAGCCGCAAACGACATGATCTATGTTTATCAGGTTGTAACGAAATATCTAAGGGATACGTGTGGAGGTGGAGGATAAATTAAAGTTAACAACTTTCACCAAAATGTGGGTCAAAATAAAAAAATAATAATTGGCACGCTATGTAAATTGATGAAGAAAGATTTTCTCTATTGGGACAATTTGTTATACCTTGAGTAATTACGTATATACGTGTTACGTATGTTTTCCGTTGTCTGAATTTGTGTACTAAGTTGTTATTATTATTGTTTCAGCATGCCGTTCAAAGTTGTTCAAACCTTGGAGGGAAAGAAATATAAATTATTTACTATTCCATCGGGTTGGGAATCTAACAATATTCTCAGATATCCAAATAAATGCATATCAAAGTATTTAAAAGATGAAAATTCAACACCAACGCTAGACTGGGACGTAATAAAATGTAAAGTAAAACGGACCGATGTATTAAGCTACGAAAACGGAGAAAAGCTTGTATCTGAAATGCTGAAGCACAGTGATACGGAGGACGATGTCGATAATTATACGCAGCGGCGACGTTCACATAACAAATCTTTAAATCTGAATCCAATAGCACAAGATATGGTAAGAACTACATATTAAATGAAGGTTATGACTTTAGTAGCCTATAAAGAATGAATTAATGTTTTTTAAACATTTAGTCTATTTATTTTTAAACTCTTTGTCAAGTCTTGTTTAATAAAATTTTACCGGCTCTTTTTTGTTTCAGATGGGCAATATTGTTTTGACTAACCGTAACACAGACATAGCGTCATCGTCCGCTGACTTGCCGATTGAATTAAACTATAACTTAGTTTATACCGAGGATATTCAAGCAAATTCAACAAATACATCTCAAGTCTTTTCAAATGATACTACACCTTTAGTACAGGATTCAGTAAGCTTTGACATCAGTAAAATGTTTGAGAACCAAAAACAAATATTAGATAACCAAGCAACTATTCTAAGCCAAATTTATCAAAATCGACAGCAGCAACTGGATAATAACTCGGCAATTATCGCCCAGATTCAGTCTCCAAAAAAATGTGCAAAATAGTTTCATTCAAAAGGTGTCTGCTTTGTCTGTGCAAATGGAAGACGCAGTATTTCAAATAACTTCATCGTATAATCAAGACGTGCAAACTTTAAATAGCAGCAAAGGCCATGTTGAAAATATTCCAATATATGAAAAGCCAGTTGACAGCGCCCAGGAGTTAGATGAACTCGAAAATCAGTTATCGGACCCAAACAATAGAGACTGTTTGAAAAATAGATATTCTATACTTTGTTCTGGAGGTAAAGCTATAGACTGTGCTTATATGCTTGTTGATGTTATGTTTACAAGGAAATTTATTTGTGAGTGCTCATGGAGTGGGGACAGCAGAGGTGAAGATTTGAAAATTCCTTTAAAAGGTTATAAACATGTCTTGTCTTTTTTCTGGAATATGGTGCACTATTGGGATCAGGAATATTCTTTAAAAGATAATGAATTATTTTTCAAAACGATTTTGAAAAATGCCAAAAAAAGAAAAATTGCAAAACTTGAAAGAGCTTCAACATCAAGGCAACGTTCGAAACCCAAAAATAATTTGAAACGTATGAAGTTTTCAGAAGAAAATGAGACAAATGTAACTTCTGATAACGGTGAAAGTGAGAATGAGATAAACGAAGAAGAAAACACGATAAATAAGAAGAAAAGAAATGATTCAGTAGAAGAACACACAAAGGAAAATAAAGAAGGCGATGTTATAAAAAATATCTCAAAAGACATCGCCAAATATAATAGTAACGTTATAATTGGAAAGGAGACAAGTGTCTGAAATTGAAGAAAAGGAATCGTTACATTAAGCAATTATAAATATTTATTATATATTATACTATTTCGTTTGATATTCTGAAAACTATGTAAAGATTAAAGCTATTAGAGTATTATTTTTATCTATTTTTATTTTGTCATATGTAAGGCTATAATTGGAAATCGAGACTGATTGAAATAATTACTAGACATTACCGAAATTTTAAAATTTAAAAATATTTTTGTAGGTTAATATTTATTATGTAGATCAAGTTAGTAGATATACAATATGTAACTAAAACCCTATCAGGATCATTATTCAAACGTATAGAAATAACTTTTTTTGTAAAAACTCGAACAATATTTTTTATTTTAATTAAAAAAAATTGTATGCGAATTGTATGTGGTTTTATTACCTCTGCATTATCGGTGGAGTAAGAGGATTGTCAAATACCTCGCTTTACTAAGCTTTAGCATCGGCTAGTGTCAGTAAGAGGCAATAAAACGACATAAAATAAAATATTTTTTTAATAAAATTTAAAAACGAGTTATTTCTATAGGTTTAAATACTGATCCTGATAACATACTTAACGGGAACCACAGGGTTTTTGTTACGTTGTATATACCTATAGGTGAAAAATATACCTACTAATACGTAAGGCTGTATTATCTCAAAACAATTACTTTGTTAAGTACAACATAATATGTTAAATTGTATTAGTTACCATAGTTAGTTTAGGTATACTTATTTGTTTTTTTATAGCAATCTAAACTAAAGAAAGCATTTTTAATATTATGATGGATAAATAATATTCTCTTCATTGATTTTTTTCATAATTCACATACAGAGTATTTATTTCAGAAAATATTGTGAAAGCAAACATATATTTTGTTTCTAAAAACCATATTTGTACAACAATCTTTTCTTAAATTTTTACTGTTTTAATAAAGAAATTTTCAAATTAAAGTTTGCTTATCATTTGAGTACCTACAGCGTATGTAATAATGGTAGAAAGTATATTATATCTTTATGACTAATACAAACTAATTTACATTTGATTTCATTTGGATTTATTACTATAACATCATCAGAGACAACATAAGGTTCTTTTACTTTATACATACTTAAAAACGATGACTTAATCGGTAAGTCAAATATGATATATTTGTTCAAAATTTTTTTACCACTTATGGTAACCTCTTTTTCACTACCAGGGGACAAGTCTTTTAATTCAAATATATCATCATTGTGAGTCATAAAATATTTATCTTCTGGCTTTAAAGAGAGGACAAAGTTTTTGAAGTGAATTTTACGATTACTTTTACTAGTTATCAAGTAGGGTACATTATTCGTGGTTTTTGCTGTCATCAAAAGATTAATTGTACTTTTCTCACAAATTCTCTTAGCAACTTGTGCCAGAGGTTTGTCACCCTGTCTTAACATTCTCTTGATTAAATATAATTGATTCTCAAATGGATACGCATCGAAGTTGTGAAGAGGGCCAAATTTTTGAACTTCGTCCACAATATGGAGTAAATTATGCACATTACTGGTGATATCATTATATCATTATGGTTCTCATTAGAACCATAGAAATATTTATACTGATCTACAAAATGTTTCAGCATTTCTCTGGCAAGTGGTAGTAAAGTTGTGTAACATTTATTGGAACATATCGTAATAGAGCAAAATATACTCAAAAAGTGTTCAACAACATCAACACGAAGGATATCAGACAATATGATAACGCTTAAATAATAAAAAAAAATTCTAAATTCACTTGCTTTCCAATAAGCGAGACAATCTATACTTCTTACTGCCCGGTGGATCTCAGACGGTAATTTACAGTTTTTTAAAAATGCCTCTAGGTTTTCAATATCTCGCGCACACAGCTTAGTCATATATGTTCCAAAATTGCCATCTCGCCACCCAATAAGCAGCCTCTTCATTATACCCAGATCTATGAGGTGCAAAGAATCTGCTACTGGAAAATCTTCTACCATATCAATTGGCAATTGTAGTAAAGGAGAATCTATTTTATGATGACCTCCGTAAAGTTTAGCTCTGAAATTTTCATCTGTTCTTGGAGAATCTTCCTTGGTAGAGAAGACTACAGTATGAGATGTATGCGAATATTCTCCAACCGTCGTACACTTTAAACATCCATGTCTTCCGTTAAAATTACATACACCTGAAAAAAGTATGTCACACATTTAGCCAATACAAATAACTTAGAAAATTTGAAAAGATCGCCTTGAAATCTTAGCCTAACTAATTTAGTCAGTACATACGAGCGTTAAAGCAATGATTAAAGACTGAATACAGAACATCACAAAATTTAAATGAAAATTATTCATAAAATAATAATAATAATTCGTAAAATTGACTATACATAGTAATTTAGTTCGTCTATCACGATTATAACAATAATGTTAAAGTTTCAATACGGCCATAAATTAAAAATATTTACCTTTAAGGAATGCCCTTGCCGGAGAATCACAAACAAAACATTTGATTTTTATAGAAACAAGTTTCTCATCTATAATTATTCCATTACTAAGTAATGATTTCATCTCAGTTACAAAATCTTCTAAATATTCTTCTAATATTTTTGGTTTGCCTGTACCATAGTATATTCCAATTGTGAATACATTCCCCTCTGCATTGGCTAATATTGGCCAAAACTCCTTTTTGGCACTCTTAAATATTGGCAGACCGTCAAAATTAAAGATTAAATGAATGCTATTTGGAATGGGCGTGAAATCCTTAAGTAATTTCATTAACGGTTCAGTTATACCATGATGCCAATATTGTCCTCCTTCTATATTTTTAATACAAATTTCTTTTGGAGTACGCAAAACAGTGCGTGGATCTTTCGGAAGTAATAATGTAGTACTAACGTAGCCTTCATTCAAAATCAACAGAAGCTGTTTTAAAGCAGTTTGGGTAATATTGTTTCCTACGGACCACGTTTTTAATTGTTTAGTTAGTGCAGTAATTTTTTCAATATCACTAAATTTTTCTTCCTCTTCTTCTTCATCTTCTGACGCACTAAGTGGTATGGAATCGAAAAAATTGTTATTTACTTGTGCTTTTTCTTGTTCTTGTTCTACGGAACCCTGCTGTGCCTCCACTCGAACTTGACCAAAATTACTCGTATTATGGCTATTTATATATTCTCTTTGTAACGAATCTTCTTTATTTTCCGTAATAACTGGAATACCAGAATCTAATCGGATATCATCATAACTAAGTGATTTGTTTGTGTCATTCGTACCATTATTAAGTGAATCCAAAAAAATACGGCATTCCTGCATAATTCTTTTTTTCACTGCGCCTGTTTTCTTTTGTTTACTCCATCTTTGTAATCGTTTCATTTTAATGTAACTTAATAATAATACTTGGTAGAAAAATTTCTTCAGTTCGTAATAAGGTTGTTTATAACAAAAATTATAACAAATCGCAACTTTAGAAAGACTGCTTTTGAGTATTAATATCCATACTTGTCTTGTATAACACCAATACTTTTACAATGTATTTAAAGTGTATATGCCAAACACAATAAGCATTAGTAAAATTAAAATTATAGCTTAAAACTACATAAATGAGTTGTTCAACACTTTTAGTATCTTGTGTTAGTACACTCTTGACAAACTCTATTTTACAACCCATGTCTGCACCTATAGTCAATATAATACCTAAAGGCATATAAGACACTTCACGGCAACAACTAAACAACAATAAGTGTTAACGAGAGTCAGCGAGCACTGTTGTATAGATTTAGGAGCTACAAACAGGTCAAAGCTACAACTTCTTAACTATACTTGCTGTGATTAGCACTATTCTAACTCTTAAAGCAACCTAACATCGTTCATTAAAGTTCTAGAACCACTGTTGGAGCTAAATTTATCTTTTAACTCTTATATATGTCTTTTAGTTAGAACTGAGATAATTATTACTCAGTTAAACAGATTAAAGTTATATTAAAACCTGTAACTGACACCAAAATGTTAGTTGGGTATCCTCCGCGACTCAAACGGGGTCGCACCGTTGATGCGGTGGTGATGGGGATGCGGGAGGAGAGGATTGTCGGTATTGCAAGGCGCCGCTCTCCCTATCCTCCGCGCCGAATCTTGGTTGGCGGCGGAGCCATAGACCAGATCCGCCGCTGGGGTCGGGAAGGCTAGTACTTCTAAGTGCTCGTTTTTCCTGGCCCCATGGCCTTCGCGCATCGGACGCGGGGGCGTCTGTTGCGCAGATGCAATTGGAGGCCGTGGAGGAAGGCGTGCCATGTGTTCTGGTGCGCCTTACTTGGGAAGGAGAATGGGGAGGAATATTCCTCTCCCGAGGAGGCGCTGCCATGGGGCGGCAGTCGCTGGTAGGGCCGCGGAAGTGTGCGAAAGCGTTCCCGTAGCCCTGCCAATATGCGACGAAGGTGGAACACTATGGGGTTTTAGTCGGTGCGAGTCCGACATAACCCGTCCTTGCCCCCGCGAGGCGGGTATGCGTAGGCATTTCCCCATGTTAAAAAAAAAGGGTAATATGGCCATCCGTATAATAGGGTCACTTTCTTATAACTCAAAAACTACAGCCTTGTTTGCAAAGATGGCTAAAAATGATACTTCATCACCGGTCAATCAATTTATAAATGTGTGATGCTTTATCGATGTCATTTTGACAGTTATATTAAATATGTTATTCGATTTTAATTTGGTGTAGTGTAGTCAGTTTTTTATGTAGCCATTTCACGCAAACATTGTCAAGTCTTTCGGACAAAATATAGCTATAATTCATTGCTGGTGTCGCCCGCATTCATGAAGTTTTTACGATCAGTTCAGCCAATCCGACAAAGAGACAAACTTTTACTGTCTGTTCAGTTGTCCGTATGCTGTCAAATCTGTTGACGATTGCAGGTCTAACCATTCGGTGATCGCTGCCAGTTTTCACCCTTGTGATCACTGAGACATCACTGAACAGTTGGTGTCTGGTCGCCATAATGAAGTCAATCTCGTTTTTTGTCGAACCGCCGGGGCTCGACCAGGTCCACTTTCTGTGGGGCCGCTTCTGGAAGAAAGAGTTCATCATAAAAAGTCCCTCTTTCTCCATGAAGTCGACCAGCTGCTGGTCCCTTGGGTTCCGTTGCCCTATCTCAAATTTCCCCACCTTCAGCTCATCGTTCTTTCTTGTGCCCAGTTTTGCGTTGAAGTCTCCCATTAACACCGTATAGTGAGTTTTGGAGGAATGCATGGCTTTAGAAATGTCCTCATACATTTCCTCCACCTCCTCATTGGGATGTTCCGACGTTGGCGCGTAAACCTGTATGACCTTCAGCGAATACCGTTTGGTGATTCTGAGTGTAAGTTACGCAACCCTCGTCCATACACTCCCAATCTTTAAAACGTTGTTAACGAGAGACTTGTGGACGATAAATCCAACACCTCCTTGGAACAGATGGTCGCCCTCCCGGTGGTAGAACAAGTTGCCGGATTCGAGAATCACCGTGTCCTCCCCCTCTCTTTGGACCTCGGATAATCCTATAATATTCCAGCGCAACTTGTCTATCTCTTCTTCCAGTTCCAGGATCTTCTCGTCAGTGCTCAGGGTGCGTGCGTTAAATGTTGCCAGGTCGAGTCATCGTAGGTGGCAACCGAACCTCCACCGGAGATTCTTAGCACCCCCTGCCCCGCCGTTACCATGGTCGCCACCGTAGCCAGGAATAGCGGGGCCGCCGGGGACTGGGGTTTTCTATAAGGGTTGTGTGATTCTTCAGGGGGGATATATTGCCATAGTTGCCACGCTTGGCGAGCGGGTTGGCAACCGCAGTTTTTTTTGTTTTACAGTTGTTGTTATCAGGAAGATGCTGCTGCCCATCTCCTGCCTGTCTCCCTCTGTCGGTTTTACGACACCCACGGGAAGATATGGGGTAGTGGATATTCTTAACCGCCACTACACGGACGAAAGGAAAATAAAAATACCTAATTCCGAAAAAAATATTTCTTAACAACACAAAACTAATGTTTACAAGTTTGTGAAGCTAAACTCATTCTTGGCATTCTAGGGTGTAGGCGTGGGAATAACCTTTTATTGTTATGTACATACATACAAGTGTATATCCTAGGTATGCATTGTAGCAGGGCGGCAAGGGCTCACAATCTTCCTTGCTCCCTAAATCGTAGCTGCCGCTCCCGCGTGTGTAACGCACTTGGAGCAATTTCAATAAGTTTGTTGGCGACTTTCGCTCGCTATTATTAACTTTATTATTAAAGCTAAAAACTTATTTTTGAATGATTTTTATAGTAATGACTTATTATAGTTTTTAGTTTCTTTAGATACTGATAATTGTGGACTAGATGACATCCACTTATCCTACTTTCTAGTATATAGGTATAATATCTACATAATTTTGCATTTAATTAACAATTTTATATAGAATTAGGGTGGCACGCAGTCCACCTGATGGTAAGTGGACGCTGTGACCCATAGGCATCTACATTTATCCTCGATTAAGAATCAAAATGCAGATGCGTTGTCGCCCCAGAGGACCAAGATGGAATCCCTCGACTCCATCTCATACATATACATCGATATCAAACTGAATTTTCTTCAAAAACTAGGTTTTCAGTGTTTATCTAATGACGTATTATTTATATAGTTTAAAATAATATAATCTCAAAAAATTAATTTATGAAAATTTTTTTTGAATCTACAATCCTTTAAAGGACATTTACCGCTTAGCGTATGTCAGTCCCATCATAACCTAACATACATCACTAACTCATATAACGTTAATTAGTGGGCGTAAACGTGGGCCATGGATTCGAACAAAATTTTTTAGCATCGTCGCCATTTGGTTGGTATAAAATATTATGATATTTGCCTACGTCAGCTCTGTTCAAATTCAGGATCCTTATTAAATTACTTCTAGCAGACCCAAATCAAATTCATTCCATCAATAAATGGTGCAGGTCTTTTATAACTCCACGGTCTTTAGTCTTCACAATTGGGCAAAGTTGTTTTTCTCATCAAGAACGCAAATTTATTACAGAATGTGTCCAGATCTGACACACTACAAACTTCTAAGTGTTTTGTAAATTTCAGAAATTCTATCCGTGTCGTGGTTACATTTTTTTTACACGAAAGGGTGACAAACGAGCACACAGTCTACCTGATGGTAAGTGGTTGCTGCGGCTCATAGACATCTACATCTATCCTCGATTACAAATCAGAATACAGATGCGTTGTCACCAGTTTGGACTAAGATGGAATGCCTCGTTTCCAGTAAAAAGGGTCTCCCGTTCTCTACACTCGCCCTATCCTCCGCGACTCAAACGGGGTCGCACCGTTGATGCGGTGGTGATGGGGATGCGGGAGGAGAGGATTGTCGGTATTGCAAGGCGCCGCTCTCCCTATCCTCCGCGCCGAATCTTGGTTGGCGGCGGAGCCATAGACCAGATCCGCCGCTGGGGTCGGGAAGGCTAGTACTTCTAAGTGCTCGTTTTTCCTGGCCCCATGGCCTTCGCGCATCGGACGCGGGGGGCGTCTGTTGCGCAGATGCAATTGGAGGCCGTGGAGGAAGGCGTGCCATGTGTTCTGGTGCGCCTTACTTGGGAAGGAGAATGGGGAGGAATATTCCTCTCCCGAGGAGGCGCTGCCATGGGGCGGCAGTCGCTGGTAGGGCCGCGGAAGTGTGCGAAAGCGTTCCCGTAGCCCTGCCAATATGCGACGAAGGTGGAACACTATGGGGTTTTAGTCGGTGCGAGTCCGACATAACCCGTCCTTGCCCCCCGCGAGGCGGGTATGCATAGGCATTTCCCCATGTTAAAAAAAAAGGGTAATATGGCCATCCGTATAATAGGGTCACTTTCTTATAACTCAAAAACTACAGCCTTGTTTGCAAAGATGGCTAAAAATGATACTTCATCACCGGTCAATCAATTTATAAATGTGTGATGCTTTATCGATGTCATTTTGACAGTTATATTAAATATGTTATTCGATTTTAATTTGGTGTAGTGTAGTCAGTTTTTTATGTAGCCATTTCACGCAAACATTGTCAAGTCTTTCGGACAAAATATAGCTATAATTCATTGCTGGTGTCGCCCGCATTCATGAAGTTTTCACGATCAGTTCAGCCAATCCGACAAAGAGACAAACTTTTACTGTCTGTTCAGTTGTCCGTATGCTGTCAAATCTGTTGACGATTGCAGCTCTAATCATTCGGTGATCGCTGCCAGTTTTCACCCCTTGTGATCACTGAGACATCACTGAACAGTTGGTGTCTGGTCGCCATAATGAAGTCAATCTCGTTTTTTGTCGAACCGCCGGGGCTCGACCAGGTCCACTTTCTGTGGGGCCGCTTCTGGAAGAAAGAGTTCAT